CCTATTTTGGTCTATCTATTTTAACAAAAAAAAAAAAAAACCTTTTTTAGTCTTTCTACTTAAGAAAACCCCTTTTTTATCCCTAAAATTTATTATTTAGCCTCTCTTTTGTCCCTTCATTATCTTTTTGTATACATAACACATTAGATAATAGAAATTTTAAAGAAAAAAATGCTAAAAAAGATTTTTAAAAAAAACTCTATTTTGGTCATTCTATTTTAAAAAAACCTCATTTTTAATTCATCTACTTTAAATTTTTTATCATTTAACATATCACATAATTATGTAGTGAAGAAAGCTTATGAGTTCTTAGCTCTTTTGGAGTCTGTTTTGCAGGGCCAGTTTTGTAGATTGGTTTGGTGCAATTTAGTGCCATCCAAGGTATCTTTTTTTGGGTGGCGATTATGTCTTGATAGACTTCCAACAAAAGGGAACCTATATAAAAGAGGGGTAGATATGCAAGAAGGAAGTTTAATGTGTAGTTTTTGCAATGAGGCAGTGGAGGAAATAGATCATTTATTTTGTACATGTAAGGAAGTATGGTTAATATGGGCAAAGTTGCTACATTGGTGGGGGATGGAATCTATGTTACCAAATTCAGTGGAAGCCACAGCTGAATTTTTCTGATCTAGTTTTGGTAGGTTGGTTGGGAAAGAGATGGGTGCTTGTATGTTTCTAATAGTTTCTTGGTGTTTGTGGTATTGGAGAAATGCTGTTGTGTTTCAAAATAATGGGAGCTTTAAGGAGAAATTGTTGGATATGGTTAAAATCAAGTCCTTTTCTTGGATTAAATCTAAGAATACTGGCTCCATGTTCTCCTTTTATGAATGGACGGGTGACCTAGTTGCTTGTGCATTGGAGGTGAGGAGGCATAAAAAGGAACTAAAGATGTATTTGAAGCTGAAACAGGGACATATATGATCGGCAGTGGGGGCTTGATTGGTTTTGGCTGATGTGTTTCTATTATAAATGTTGTCAGTTTTGCTAGGTTTTATTATGATGGTTTAGTCTTTTATTCTGTAAATGGGTTGAAATACCCCTTGTACTTCTATTAATAAATTATTTCAACTTACTGATAAAAAAAAATTTAACATATCACATATGCAAAAAAATAATGAAGAAATTAAAAATAAAAAAGAGTCGAATAATAAATTTTAGGGAATAAAAAAGAGTTTTTTTAAATTAAAAAAACCAAAAAATAAAAGCCTTTTGTTAAAATAAAAAGATCAAAATAAAATCTTAATCAAGACTTCTCTAAATAAATAAAGCATTTATAATTAAGTAACGGGCACATAATACTCACTCCAGCTCTTGACTTAGTTAACGACACAGGTATTGGGAACTTAGTACAAATTCAACAGGCTCGAAAATATGGTGTGCATTAAAATGGTCAGTTTCAGTGAGATATGAAACTATGGAAGTACAAAAGTGACAAAAATTCAAGGTCAAAACTGATTATGATGACTTCTGTTCTTGGAAACCCTAGCCGATTCCACCTTTATATTCACCTCCAACTCATCTTCCTCATGGTTCCATCCCATAAATCTGTTCTTTCTAGCGTCTCTCATTATCAACTTTTCTCTCCAAAATTTTCTTCGAAGATGAACAACCAGGCGGAGAATGTCCCAGTTCAACCAAACTTTGACGGTAATGGTTATTGCAACCTTTGTCAACTACATTTCAATAAACTTGAGACTGTGCTGAAACATCAAAAGGCAGTGCATGGCAATGCACGCTACCAGTGCCCAACCTGCAGGAGGAGGTATCTCAATTCGGCGGAGTTGACGATTCATAGGCAGAACAACAGTCACTGAGGAGATGCAAACCCACAAAGCCATGCTAAGTTTATTTTGTATGCTAATTTTTTTCTTTCTACTTCTACTGTTATTGGAAACAGGTAGCAGTAGTCATCATCTTCTACTGGTTTTTCAAAGTTCTTCGGGGAGATTTAGTATGCTTTCTTACTTTCTTCTGTTCTTTTGGAAACGGGTGCCGGTCCACTGGTTTTTCAAAGTTTCCCGAAGTCGCCGGCTAGCTAGACCACATCCATTCTATTGGTGTGTTGGTTTCTAAGTAGATTTACCTTATATGTTGTCTTCATGGCTTTTGTATCTCCTCTATTTATGAATGTGAATAAGCTTATCACCGGACAATATCCAGAAAACCACGTCTCAACTGACTGATATGCTATGTATGACAAATAGAAAGGTTAGAGAGATTGCATAAACAAAGATATTTTAAATTCAACTCTGCAAATTAAGATTGAAAAATTGGACTTTCGTCGAACACTTAAATGGAGTTAATTAAAACTGAGTAAATCACAATTAATTAAACGTAAACAGACTCGGATTCAAATTGAAAATCAAGATCTTGAATTTGAAAACAATCGATGTACACCGCGATCGATGTGGGAACAGGGGAGAGAAGGAATTGTTGTTGACCGTCGCCATCGAAGCAGACATCGAGCCAGGAAATGTTTAAATGCATGGTTGTGGTGGTGCTACTGCCACCCATTAGAGAAGAGATTTCATTGAAATTCAGGGCTTTGATGGAACTCATCAGCTCAGCTCATTGAGAAAGCCCTTGTATTGTAGGTGGCGACCTCGGAGCCGAATTTTCTCAGACGGTCCCCGTAACGGGAGACCGGCGATTTCCAGATAGGGAAGGCTGCTTTTCAGGAGATAAAGGCCGTGAAAGAGACGGCGACCGGGTCCAACTGAGCACTCGTGGGAGAGGACGACGTGACAGAGTGGCTGTTACGGATTAATTGGTAACAAATGGTAGATTAAGAATTTTACAAGGACGAGAGACCTACAGGAACCAAATATATATATATATTTCAAGTCGGATTGCTGTTAATGTACTTTTTTTTTTTTCGTTAAATTTTGCATGGAAAATTTTTTACCATGGATATATAACTAGGGATGTGAATTGAGTCTTGCAGGGTTAAGGAATTTCTCTCCGTTTCTGTCCCCATCTTAATTTTTTTTTTTTTTGAACTAACTATTTACAGTGTTAACTTGGGGAGAAACGAAAAAAGTACCGTAAAGTTTAAATGTGTATCCTTTAGGAAGAATAGCTCTCATCCTGTAAGGACAGGTCCGAGGTGTCAAACCTCGGACTACTACAGTAATTTCTTTATGACCGAAGTGAGGAATGAATCCGAAGCTTCCTGCTCAAATAGCTGCATGATAATGATAATAAGCATGT